GCCAAAATCAAATTTTTTCGCCGGGTGAACTTTGATTCCAACTATTTAAGCGACGGGCTATTCAGAACTCTCAAAAGTAAGTGGAAAAAGTGAAAATTGAAGAAGTTTTTTTTCAGATTTTCAAAGGGTCAGATTTTCTGTTTTTCCAGGGGGAAAGTCGACTTCCGCCAAAATCGAATTTTTTAGCCGAGTGAACGTTGATTCCAATATGGATCAGTATAAATCTAAACGCAATAAGAGCGATATTAATTCCCTTTTTAACAAATGAATGAATACATAATGAACATAAATAATAAACGAACCACAAGGCAAAACACGCTTCTAATGTAAGAAATTGATCCATCAAATTATCAAAAGTGTGACGTCGACGATATTTCTCATACACGGAGAAAAAAATTCCAGAATTTTTCAGGCGAAATTCAGGCAAAAATTACCGTGCCGTCTGGTAAAGTGGGTTCAATTGTCTAGCACCAGAAAAATTCCGGTGCTGCATAGTAAAAATTCCGGTAACGCACAATAAAAGCTTGATCCCTGACTGTTTTCTATTACATGATAAATTTCATTCAATAGTTAAAAATGAGTAAACATTGTCATTCAGCATATCATCCTATTAATTTTATTTTAACCTCTCCTCCATATCCTCTCTCCCATATTAAAAGCGGAATGCGCGGCAAACGTATGTGGAACGTTTGACAGGCCAATGTATATCTACAGCGTTATACACCTCATGAAGCGAAAATAAAGGGCACTTATTTTATTTCTTAACCGTTTTATCACAACACTAGTTAATATTTCACTGAATTGATATTATGAAAAACATTAACCTGGGGTTTCAGTAAGGAGATATGTGAGAGAGGAGGCTAGAGGAGGCGACGGAATAAATCATCTGGTCACGTTGAGTCGATGTTCGTGGTTGCGGAGGGGGGACGAAGAGTACCGAAATCTTACGAATGCGCGATCGGGTCCTAGGATTCTGGTAGAGCACCGGAAAAATTTGCCAGTCAGTGTCATAATTTTTCTCGTATTTCTCGTAAAAATTCACTGTCGCTTCGATTTTACCGTGCTGCACAAGAATTTTTCCCCACATTTATCCGAAAAATGACTCGTGCAACAGTACTTTTTCCTACTCTTTGCGGTACATTTGGCCTGGAAAGACCATCTGAACCAACTTTACTGTGCGGGCACGGTAATTTTTCTCGTACATTTCTCTCCGTGTACTGCGCACGGAATTTTCATCCATATTTTCTGATTTTTCGATATTTTTTTCTGGATTTCAATCTCCTTGTTTAAACAGTTAATTTTCTCATAAGACTCTGTGTTATTTTTGCACTTCTAATAGATCAATTATTATCAATAATATTAGACAGGCGATTGAGCACAAACTCAACCAGAACGTTTCTGTTCTTATTAACTTTCGTTTAGAATTTATTTTAAATTTTAATCTTCAACATTCAAGTTATGTTTACACTACTTTAATATTAATCGCATTATAGGAGGTTTTGCGGCATGTGTATACATTGCCCTGGAATTACGCAGCTAAGCTTTCAGGTAGACACGCTCTGACATTGTCAACCTTCATCCCATTCACCGCCTTTCGCGCCTCATGCCGTTCTCCATTCAGTGTCGAGGAATCATGGGGGGAGATTTTTTTTGTTAACGTACAAGGAACGACATTGAAAATTTACAATTTGAAACTGCAAAATTCTAGTTCAATTATTGAATATTTAGCGTTATGTTGTATTCTGGATCGAAGAAAATTAGTCATTTCAACTTGAGGTGTTTCATCTGGAAAGTCAAAATAATGAAAAAAAAATGGAAAAATTCAGGGAAAAAGTATCCGAAATCTATTGACTTTTTCCTATCAAATATCTAATAGAATCTGCGTAAAAAACAAATGGAATTTTAACGAGAATTACCTAGAATTTTAATTGAATCGAATTTCTAGAGAATTCCATCGAATTTCTAGAGAATTTCAATAGAATTGTCTAGCGAATTCGGTAAGTTTTCCAGGGGAGGGTGGGGCAAAACGGACCACTGACAGAAAATCGGTAATTTTGATTTTTTTTTCTTTCCTTCAAATCAGGAACAGTGAGTGTGTTGAATTAAAAGTGAGTTTCTTGGATCGTAACCGTCACAGGGGTTTTATAGACAACAAGTGTGGTTGAACCGCAATTTGATCAGATTTGCTAATAAACTCGAATCACAACTGACTGTGAATTCTTGTTTTTTGGTTTCGAAAGGAAGCAGAAACAAAAATTATCAAATCTCTATCAGTCGTCCGTTTTGCTGTACGGGTCCGTTTTGCCTTGCGGTTCGGTTTGACCGCCTGGTTCGTTTTGCCCTATCCTCCCCTATTGAATTTTTTTATACACTGTTAGAAATTTTTTGAAATTTCGTGGATAATATTATAATAAATCTCATGAGAGTGGAATTGAATCGGATTTAGGAAAAAATGGTAATGGAATTTCAAGTTTTAAGTTTTAAGTAGTTGAATTTTCAGAAGAACATGAATATCCAGATACAAAATGATATGAATTTTCAATTTTTCCTTGAATTTTCCCAATTTTTCTGAATTATTACAGAATGATTGAACTGAAAAATTGAATATTCTATTGATTTCCAGATCATTTAAACAGAAAATCAACGGAATATTTGATTTTTGAATGACAAGATTTCTTGAAATTTCAGTGGAACTTGGAGACGACAAAAATTTCCGGAATTTGAAATTTCCGTCTTCAAGTTCTCACTGAAAGAGGACTTCCCTTAGATAAAAAAATTATCTTTTAGTCCCGAACTCATTTATGTTTCCTTAATGAACTTAGTTTTTCCTCTCCTCCAATATTTTTGACTCCATCAATGACATTCTCCTTTAATCCCCATCAGCATCATTCCTTAATCATACCCACTTATACTCTTCGTTTAAACCGAATAACACCCTTACCCGTGGAATATCTCGTTATTGTATCCTTTGATTCACCTCGAAAATGCGAAAACGAGTTTGAATCAGGTCCATCGCACTCTCAAGCACGGAATCAGCCTCATGGACTGGGAAAACCGACAAGTATCTGCTTAATTGGATTTTTATGCGCGAATCGTCTCTCCTTCTACCTTTCTCTTTTTTTTTCTTCCTCACCGATGGAGACTAGTTAGACGAATGGGACCGAACGAATAATGCGATATCGAGTCTACCAACGGGAAAACGTCGACAGCCAAACGTTCGTGACGTCTCCGACGTAATTTAGAGTCGACGACATTTACGGGGAATTTTAATCGAGTCACTTGGAAGGCTCTGACACCTTGTCAATACGTTTGATTGCTGAGGGATTCATGATTTTTTCTTTAATCTTGTTGGAATTTATGCGGTTGAGTGTATGAGTGATTTTTCTTTGAGATAAATTGACACTAGAAAGCTATTTATTTATTGCTGGACTAAGGATATCCAAGTGCTTTCGCTATTTTTCTGCAGTGAAATGCTTTTCTATTTTTGGAGTCGAACCTCAGAGCTTTTATTTGAGTCTTATTTGACCCTGAGTTTCCGGACATTTTACAATGATTTTATTGCAATGATTTTTTGTGCAGGTCTGAATTTAAATCTCGATATTGAACCGTTAGGAAACATTTTTTAAATCTGCAAAGAAATGAGAAAGTCTACTTTTGGAGGAAGATTGCATAGATCGGCATCAGTTTAGTAATATTATGAAAAGTTGCAGCTTACAATAATTAAGGTTAACTTTGCTCCCTTTTCCCCACTGAAAATAAATAATTGTTTTTCCACATAAAAAAATGTTTCATCACAACACAACGTTCATCCAATTCAATTCCCTCAAAGTGAATAATTTTCTCAATTTTGTTTATTTTATAAATAAATCAGAGTTTGTTCCTTGCACCATAATAAATGGTTCATTTGAATAACTCATAATTTTTATTTGCTTCCTTATTAGTATCAAATGAACAGTTGTCTTTTTAACAAACACATAAGATGATGAATATTCAGTACAAAAATGTTAAAAAGAATAGATAGGTGTTAAATGGTCCTTTTTCAAATTCCTCTGTTTATAGAATTTTGACTTCTCCCACAAAGTCTTATATATCCTAACTATTTTCTATTATTTTGGATAACATCTCCCGCAAAATTCGTGGTATAGAATTTCGAATTACTCAATTCTCTGCAATAAATAATTGCACTTAAATGAAAGCTCTGATGTTCAACTGATATATTATTGTAGAAAAATAATTATGAAATAACGATTACAAGTGGTCCATTTCGCCCCACGTTTCCTGTCTCCATATTCCCTTTTCCCCAATGAAAATAAATAATTGTTTTTCCACATAAAAAAATGCTTCATCACTACACAACGTTCATCCAATTCAATTCCCTCAAAGTGAATCATTTTCTCAATTTTATTTATTTTATAAATAAATCAAAGTTTGTTCCTTGCACCATAATAAATGGTTCATTTGAATAGCTCATAATTTTTATTTGCTTTCTTATTAGTATCAAATGAACAGTTGTTTTTTTAACAAACACATAAGATGATGAATATTCAGTACAAAAATGTTAAAATGAATAGATAGGTGTTAAATGGTCCTTTTTCAAATTCCTCTGTTTATAGAAACTTGACTTCTCCCACAATTTCTTATATATCTCAACTATTTTCTATTATTTTGGATAACATCTCCCGCAAAATTCACGTTATAGAATTTCGAATTACTCAATTCTCTGCAATAAATAATTGCACTTAAATGAAAGCTCTGATGTTCCACTGATATATTATTCTAGAAAAATAATTATGAAATAACGATTACGAGTGGTCCATTTCGCCCCACCTTTCCTGTCTCCATATTCCCTTTTCCCCAATGAAAACAAATACTTCTTCCTCACCATAAAAAAATATTTCATCACAACACAATATTCATTCAATCAAATTTCCTCAAATGAATAATTTTTTCCACTTCCAGCAATAAAAGTAGTAGAATAGCTTCATGAAAATGCCACTCACCCAAGATTGTGATTCGCTGTATTGTCTGGTGTCTCTGCACTCACTGGCTCCTGTGTCAGAGGTCCCTGTGTAACATCAACACCCATGCTACCTAGGTCGAGTGCCGCGTAGGTTCTACGTGCGTGTCGACCACCACCACTTCCACCTGTAACTTCACCACTTCTACCACCACCTACCACCAACTCCTGATAGAACTCGTCGAATAACGAGTTCCCAGTGCCATTACTGTTGAGTGCATCGTCGAAACGCGCTGATTCCAGATGGTAGTTGGGATTTTCAAAGGACAAGAGCCCGTTCTCTGGAAGAATTGAAATATTTCAATTTGTTAAGAGAGAAATTAATGAATAACTCATTCAGCAATAACTCGCGCCCAGAGAGATGTTTTAATTAAATTAAATAAATTCGTTGGGGAATTTTGTGTGAGTTTTTACTACTTCAGGGATGTAAATACGGGGTTTAATCTTTTAATTATATAAAGGGATTCATTTGATTTAATTAAAACATCGTGGACGTGGAGAATATTAAATTCACATTTTTCATAATTTTTTTTCGTTCTCTTTTCAATTTTCACGAGTTTTGAATTTTTCCTCTCACTTTTTTTCTCAGATTGAGTGCTTATGTGCAGTTGAATGTATTTGTCGAAAGGTATGTCAAGTACACAAAACGATGAGGCAAGCACAAGTGATTGAAGCGTGTGAAAATACGAGAGATATTTCGATGTTGTGCACGAGATACATGGCATTGTAGTCAGTAACATTTTGCGGTGATACGAATATGCCAGAGATAAATCCAACGGCCTCAACGTCCGACCGCACACTCACTCAAACTCCTCAAGAGCCGCAGACCGCGAAGAAGGATGTTGCACAGACATCGGTAAAATACGTCCATAACTCCCTGTGTGAGCTGTCATGTTGGTGGAATTTTAGAGCGTCACCAACAGCCCACGATGAGACTCATGCAAAAGCGACATTCGTGGGTGGCATGTGTCACACAATAGGCGGTTATGAGGCTTGAATGGTTAAATAATAATTTGTGAGATATTTATGAAGTTTTTTTTTGTGTGTGGATGGGGCAAATTGGTAAAGATATTTGGGCGGTGGAGGGGAAGTTGACTCGCGCACTGAGAGAAAGAAATATTTTTGCCGAATATTCATTTACTTGAGAGAAGCGGTTTTCCAAAATTTTATTTCTCCAATCGAGGGATTCACCGGCGAGCCTGGTGGGTTTCTATTATGACAATTATGGTGCTCTAGAGAATGACTTACAGGGATCCCCATTAATATTAAATTTCCATAATACGAGGTTTCAACCCTTACATTATTGAAGGTTTAAAATATGTTGATTCATTTTTCAAGTAATATAATATTAATAATCTGATTTTTTACAAGTAATGATATATTTAAAAATTGTTAATATGAGACTGTAAATTTACAACTAAATAAATAATTCAAATTTCTTGAAAGGGGATTTTCGATTACACAAGTAATCATAAATCTTCCTACCTCGATTATTGGTTGATAAAATAGTTGAAAATTTGAATATTTGAATTGATGATATTTAAGTACTCAAAAAACTTCAAGAGTGATGTTATCTAATTGATGGCTACAATATTCAACCGTAATAAAATATTACAAATTTGGCTATCCCTGATGACTAGACTGTTGAAAATTATGTCTGAATTTTGCGAGCCAAATTCCGGAAATTTTTAATAAATTGAATGATTATCGAGATAACTTATTAACCAGAAAAGAAGAGTCGAATTATAGCAATAACTAGAAACTTCATTCTCTGTGCAACACTTCCATCAGAGAAAATAATTTCTACAAAGAACTTGATAATAAAAAAAATGGTCAGAAGTTTTCATTTCAGAATAGTTAATTCATTTTCTCCAGATGTGAATGTCCTTTCTGCGATGTGACAGATTCATGTCTCCGGCACTTCCATTACGCAACACGTCCCTCCCAGAAACTCGGACAAGTTTCTCGAGAAGTCCAGCTGCCATTAGACAAGAGAATTTCAACAAGAATGAGTAGAACGAAACGGGGAACCGGAGTGAAAAGTGTGAATGCAGATGTTGCTTGAGAAATACTTGTGAAACAAAGACGAGAGTACAAAAAGAGACAAAAGGAGGGCTGAGAGAATCGCCCAAAGCGATAACCCCTTCTTTCAGTAACGAAACTTTCTGAACACGGTTTCAGTATTAGACGGTAGATGAGGAGTAGAGGATTGAGCTGAGGGACACGTGGATAAAAAGGGAAGAGTAAAAAAAATCTCAGTGGCTGAGTGGAAGAGAGAGAGAGAGGAACAAAAATGAGCAGTGGCTTCTTGCTGCGCCCCCGATGAGTCACCGAGTGTATATCGATCCTCATCGACAAAGTGGGACTTTCCAGTGTGGTTTCCCTCCTCTACTTTTATCCTCCTCTTTCTCTCTTTCTCTCGCCCTCTTTCTCATCATTTTCTTTACCTCTGGGGTATTAAATTTCATGGGAGAACAGCTTGCAATCCGAATTGGGGGTGATGCCATCAAATTCTATCTCTAAATCTTTTGAGGTTCTTAATAAAAATAAGCTTAGGGGGAATTTAATTTTTTTATTCGAATACATAAGAATCTGGGAAATTCATAAGAATTGAAGGAAAGAAATTCCGAATAAAGAACACGCTGTCAAAATTTTTTTTATGTCACGGCTGCGTCGTACATGAAACCCTGTGAAATGAATGTAATCATTGTAATCACATGATTACTATCTTTATAATCAAGTTTTGGTAATCAAGTGGTAATCATTTGTAATCACTGTAATCATTTGTAATCAGTGTAATCTTTAGTAGTTGCTTCTAGTGAGACCGTGAATTTTGTTTTTGAATTTTCGAGCGCGTCATTTCTACCAACGGTAAGTCTCAGAGATCCCTGGATCAATTTTGCTTGGAATCCCAGGTGTTTATGGTTCAGAACCTTGCATAGCCATCGCGTTTTGCACAGAGCATTTGTCCGTCCACTGATAGAATGATTCATTTATTCCAAACGAGATTTGATAACTATTAACGAATGGTAGAGTTGAATATGACCAAATGAATATTCGTTAATAGTTAACATTACATTTGAGGAACCTTGTTTGACTTGACTTTCACCATTCAAGTGAACCATTCGTTAACTATTAACGAATGGTAGAGTTGAATATGACCAACTGAATATTCGTTAATAGTTAACGAATGGTTCACTTGAATGGTGAAAGTCAAGTCAAACAAGGTTCCTCAAATGTAATGTTAACTATTAACGAATGAACATTTGGTGGGACCGAATAGACCCTAACCTCTAACCAAAATCCATTCGTTAACAATAACTAATCCGTTCTATCAGTGTAGAAGATTGATTCAACAGAGTTAAAATTTCTTCTTATTCTGGAGAACCAACGACTGAATTATCCCTGAATTATCTGCTTGTAAGTTTTATTCTCCATAAATGGTAGATATTCAGTAAATTTATTTTGCTGATAGCACTTATAATTGCCCAAATTTTTAGATCGTAGTGGTTAAGGCCGTTGCCTCACAACGGATAGGTTCCAGGTTCGATTCCTGGCCGGGTAGAATGGTGAGATCTAACCATTTTTAAAGTCTTGATCAATCGCCATATAGTCTCATCAGACTCGAAGCGATATAAAATAAGCATAAAAAAAAAAAAAAAAAATTTTTTAGATGGAGTGATGGAGACTGCATTCCTTTGTTCTGATCCTGGCCCCTCCTGCCTCATTTCTTTGCAGGTTCTAATAATTAATTATCCCATCAATTCATATTTAATAAGAGGCCATTTTTTGTCATTCCAATGATTACAGATGTTTGGTAATCACAGAATGTAATCGACGAAATCATTTGTAATCATGTAATCACATTCTGTGCTCTTGGTAATCACGGTTGTCACATAGGCAATGGTAATCAGTGTAATCAGTCCCGTAATCCTGGGTAATCGATTACATTTTGTAATCGCGGTGTCACCCAGTGCAATAAGCTGCGTACTGTGACCTTATGCATTCAGCACTTACGCGATGCGATAGGTAACGTCTAGGGCGATAAACAGGCGTCACCAGCGCCGCTGGTGACATGAATAGAGAGAGTCGCAAAAAAAGTGGTGCGGCCCCCCTTAAGATGAAAAAAAATCACAATTTTCCATCGATGAACTTACACCCTGAAGAATATCCAAAATATTACTTTTTTAAAGTTTAAAAATCGCAGGAACAAATGCATTTTACATCCTTGATTAACAAATTTAATCACAATATTCAACTACATTTCCCACCGATATTCCTCCCTGAAACCTTACCCGAGGGGCTTAACAAAGTGATTACAACTCGACAAATTTCCAAAGAGATCCTGCCAGCTGAAAAGTTGGATAAAAGAGCTTCCCCCCCCCC